ATGACAAGTAGGTAAAAATGGCCCCAATGAAAAAATTCAGTAATAGAAATGATATTTTTTTTTTAATATTCAAATATTTAAATACTGTAATAAGCAAGAATTGAATCAATAAATTAAAAAAAATGGCACTCAATTATAAAAAAAAAAAATTAAATGCTGTAAAATACCCTGTAGCAAAAATTGAATTAATAAATCAACATAAACCATATGCATATTTGAGAACTAAAATAACTTAGTTTTTAGCTCCTATGAGTAGCTCTAGGAGTACCCTGCTGATTGATAAATTAATAAATCCTTTTTGTATGGGTAGCTGTTAGGTCTAAGTATTTTTTTAAATTGTTATTATTATTAAATATTATTACTATATTAATGGTATTGATAAATCCCACTAACCTCCCAAAACACACTGTAGAATACCAAACAATTCAATTGTGATTGACTCACTTGGTATATTAATAAGAAAATTAAATATTCATATGAACCTATTTTTTGGATAAAATGTTGATTTTTTTTTTTTTTGTGGAAAAATACTTGCAAATACTCCACAAACTTCCAAACACATTGCGAACCCCATCCAAACCGTTTAATTATGATTGTAGAACTCTCTTTTTCTTTAAAAAAAAAAAAAATAATAATTTGATGATCATATCAACCCATTGTTTTTTGGGGTTTACAAATACCCGGATTGAATTTCTGGAAAATTGTGATTCCGCTCCCGTGAAATTGGCCACAAATAAATTATTTTAGTATTAATAAATGTGTGATTTATGTTGATTTATTGATTATGCTGTTGCTGTTTTTTAACATTTAAATGGAAAATAAAAATAAAAAGTGTTATTCATGGCTTTTTATCTTTGAATATTTTATCATTAAATATGTATTCCTGCAAAAAGTAAAATGTAAATGGCAATTTATTTGACGTTAGATTCCTTTTTAAAACTAAATTATTTCAGTTGAAAAAAATGCATATAATGATTTTTAAAAATCGGTTTTAATACAGAATTTTATTATTGGGGCCATTTTTACCAGGGCCATTTTTACTGGGGCCATTTTTTCCTGGGCCATTTTTACCGGGGCAATTCTTACCGTACACCGTTCACTCCAGCTACTGAGTGTTTGATGGCTTCTGACTCGTGTAGCCACATTCTTCTGCCTTGACACTAACTGCATACTTTTGTCATGAAACATGAGCCCTCTGGTTTGGCAGTCTAACTTCACAAAGTCTTCCCAGCATTTGACTGGTCTTCCTCTTGGTCAGCTTCCATTTACAAGGGATCCAAGTACACTATGTTGGTTTCACGTAGTTTCTTTCATGTAGTTTTCTTTTTTTTTACATTGCCATAGTAGCGTAGCCTTCTTTTGGTGATTAGTTTAGTGATGAACATTTGTGTATTTTATCCCCAGGGTCCACATTAGTGTTGTGTATATTTCTTATAAAATTATAATGATGTCATATTGCTGTAATATATTTAATATATATAATCTGAAGTATATTTTATTGTTCCTTTCTTTTTTAAAGCAGCAGCAGCAAGTGCAATTCCCAAGGAAACAGAGCAATTATCAGCTCCAGGTAGGGTTCATTATATAAATTTGAAAAATACTATTTTGTTTTTACATGTATAATTGTTTTTTTACTAATATCATGAAGACAACTTGAAAATAATTTACAAAAGTGTTTGTAGGACCCCTGTCGACGCCCCAACAATCAAAGATACAAAACACAAGAAAATTTATTTTTTTGAAAATTAAAATTCTGCAGGATATTTTTATCAAACCTATGCAATAATATTTTGATGCCTAATGTTGATATTTTCGTAATGATAACATGAGCTTTGTTGGTATAATAAATAAGTTGGAGAAAGTAAAAAAAAGTTGATACAAATGAAAAATATAATGTATTTTTAAAGTTCCTTTTCTTTTCTAAAGCCCAAAAAGAAGACGCTCAAGTGTCAACTCGAGGTAGGGATTTGTAATTGCTCTAATGGTATATTTGAAAGATGAGTAAATCATTCTATAATGTAATTACTAAGGATTTTTGTTATATTTTTTATGATAAATCATATAGAAGTTCAGTAAAGTTGAAATGCCTGTTGCATCATGGCCAATATTGCTACACAACATTCTACTATACCTAGTCTGTTGCCACTTAGCCTATTGGTGGTATCTGGTTTGTTGCTAGCTGGTTCTTTAATATCTTACACCATTTGGAACCCAGATTTTTGTCCTCTTGTCCAGTGGCTATTGCACCTGGCCAGTTTCCACCCTATACTATTTAGCGCCCACCCAGCGGTGTATCTAGAAGCCTAGGAATGGGGGTGCTTATGGGGGAGGGGCA